CTTCTGATGAAATTATAGTGAGAAATTAAAGAGGAACGAAACACTGTGTTCAGCTGTGCTGAAATCACTAGATGTTTCTAGTTCGTCAAACATGAAAATTTTGCCTTCAGATTTGTATGGTAGACTAAGAAGAGCAGAGGTCCTTGATTCCGTTGAAATCATAGTTGCAACAGTCTCTATTCGGTAAAAGTTAACCAACTAAGCTGTTATACTTTCGCCGACGGTGGAATTTTCATACGGTTTTGTGGTTCAGAAGTTCTCATCCGAGGCTTAAGGTACCAAAATTCTTGGTTACCGCATCTTGCGGAAGGGTTACTTGTTTCCAGGTGTGCATCGTGGTGGCTTGAGTATAGACCAGCGTCTGTAACTAGGCACCCAGAAAAGGAACTACACTCCATTACGTCGCAAATACGACGCTGTATCCGCTGATGTAAGCAGAGGAAGAGAAAGACATTTGCTCTCTCAGGTGAAGAATGGCCTGGCTTCACTTGCTGACTTTAATTGGCAACTATATACAAAGAAAAAAAAACGATATGGCGCGCCATTTTGTTTTGGGATATAATAGCATAAGCGGTGCCTATAACCATAAAGAAGAAGAAGAGCCTACTTTTCATAACGGTTTACTCTTTTAAGTCCTTACATCTATTCTGGAGGGAACAACTTTAATTTCAACCGCGTCTGGCTCATGTCATATATGGGATAATGAGTTCTTCATATCATCAACAAGAGGGTAGCTCAGACATTTTTTCAGCAATATGCTAGGGAAAGCAGAGACTCTAAGTCTAAGTTCTCGGCATAAGATCAAAAAAATAGTTGAATTAGTCCACAAATTCAAAATAAAGGTATACTCGTACTCCATGGTAGATATTTTAGTCCAGCTGAGAGTCACCATAACTCCGTGTTTTGGTTGAGTTGACCTGAACTAATATTTAACATGAAATGCTTCTCCTTCTTATTGATTAGCTTAAGGAATTATAGCCGAATAAAGCGCAAGCGTTATATTAATAGGCGCTAAATGAAGAAACCAAGAGAAGCCAGGTCTTCCTATACTACGTACGACCAAGCTGCATTGATACACTCTGTCTTGTGTCTCTGGTGTGAGAAATATTACTGAAGAAGAAGAAGCAGTATTTTTTGTCCCTTATCCATGACCGAGTGAAGGTTCTATAGCTTTTATGCGATAAGGAAGCATAGCCTTTGTCTGCCGAATGGTAGACACTCGCAGATTCCGTGCTCCACTATCTCCACACATACCCTATATTTCGCCCGCATTTTGCATTCTATAAGACCTGAATTGAGGCAGGCGGCTCCAATCCGTTCATAGCCCTACTAGCAGCCCATAGACTTTCGCGTCATATGTCTTAAGCATAACTATCGCACGCAATTATACAGTCCTTTGCTCGTTCGAAAAGCCTTTTCGTCTAACGAAATATGATCGCTTTTTGCACCAGTTTTCACTTTCCTTGATAAGACTAATCCACAGCTGTTCTAAAAGAACATCCACCTTAGCCAATTCGTCAGCTATCTCATTGCTTCAAAGCTGGCACAGCAGAAACTCTTAGAGCCCTAGTATTTTCGCATATCCGACGACATAACCTAGCCAGCGAAACTGCTGTCTCTTAATTTGCTGAACTAGTTCATTATACATCGCTTGAGGTCGCCAAATCTCCTTAAATCTTTCCCAAGACCTTTCTCTCGGAAACTCCTAAGCCGACTTATAGCATATTTGATTGCAGGAAATATCTCGCCTTGACGTCGTTCAATATCAGTCTACGTTTCTCAGTCTGGAGAGAAAGACTATGTTTGAAACCCCACTTCATACTGAATGGCTCGTAGAGCTCTTCCCCAATCGTGACGATACTTATGGTACAGCGTAAGTAGTTTTCGTACAACAGTAGTAGCGGTTTACCAACCTCGCCTAAGAACAAGTTTGGTCAGCCGAGGTCATTTAATGGAAGTTCCAGGAAACCAGCTGTTTCAACGGGTTCAAACCATATGGTCAGAGAGTGTTAGATGAGTTGGTTTTAAGGACATGCAAAGAGGTGGTTGGCGTCTTGCGGAGACTCGTTGCATGCTGGATATACGTTAGTTATGCGGGGTCTAGTCTTGATAAGTAGAAGCTTATTCTGCTAAAATATCCAGAACTGAGCTGTACTTATCATCAGCTGCAGCTTTGTAGATAAAGCAAATTCGGAAATACCGACATCGTCACTCTGTCACAGATCCGGAAACATGCGATTAACTTTAATTAGTCGCAGCGTCGCAGATTTTGTTTTTTACGGCCTAGCCAGACATGCTATTGTGCTTACACCTTCTCGCTCTAGTTTACGCTGGTCAAGACCGAAATTAACTGATCGCTCGAAAGCGTGCAGGTCACACATATTGTGATCAAGTGGCGCACACGCCGAGGGTAGTTAATGTCGGATGATATCAGATGATCGCGTTGACAAAAGAAACAGTTATCGCAAATTAAATTAACGGACTCGGCGTATACAATGCTGATTCGGCTGATGAGTGTGTGCGAGTGTCTATGAGTGTGAGTGGGAATGAGTGGGAATGAACGCGCAATAAAGAATGATTAAAGAATAGCAACACAAAGAATTTAGTTTATTGTGCTTTCATCGTGAGCCTGATAAAACTTGTTAAAATATTATACTAATTATTATTGTCTACATCATTATTGTCTACATCTGATGAAGAAGAAAATTTATAGTTTGGAAAGGAAAAGTCAGTTTTTTCTACTACATTACCAATTACACTTGATTTCGCCTCTCAACGTGTCTCTCTTTTGATATGTCTAGATTTGAGAAGTTTAGTGTTGGCGATAGTGGTATCGCAAAGAACAGAGATGCTTTCAACCGATTTGGCAGTCTAGTGTATGAAGCATGTAAGTCTTAAAAAGGGCCTAAGTCCGTATAAAGATATCGATATCCGAAAATCTGTATAGTTTCGTCAATCAAATCTCTTTAATCAATGTAGGTCCTCCGCTTAACAGATATTTGACGATGAAGCTCTTAGTTAGTTAGTTAATTAGGTTCCTCAATCACGGCATCCCTGGATCGAGGTCTGTTGGGCCGTTGGGATACCTATGGGGATCCCATACTTGAAAGCGACTTCTCAAAGTAGAAATTACCGAGGCCGAGATGTAGGACCACACTTAGGGTGGAGCTATTACAGAGGTAGTACTCTACCAACTACTCCTTGTGTATACCCCTGCAGCTGGGTAACCTCTCCTTCTACCATGTGCCTCATCAAACAGTGTCCGGTTATTGAGCCGATCATGATGCTTATTTAGATCCGGTTTATCAGGAGTATAGTTTTAGTTTTTTTTGCTCTTTCAGTAGGCAGACCTCATGTGGTTTCATCATACCATCTGGTGTTGATCCTACTTTATGAAAACTAGGCAGGTATTTTCCAGAGAAGTGAGGTATGCCCACAACGTGTATAGCGTTTACCGTGGTTAGGATTATATCTGAACGTCTTGCGACCTCGCCGACTTCACAATTTTCTGAGAAGTCTCGAAAAAGCTCTTAGTTATTGCTACAAAGCAAATCTTGGCCAAACGTAGTACCATCTTATAAGAGCCAGTCCGCACTGGCTGCGGAAGAACCGTAGAGAAATGCGCCTGAAGGGCGTTAGACTGTAAAAGCTATACAGTGTTAGGGTCTCTACCTCCGCTAAACAGAACGAATGAACAGAGAAATGGAAACGGTTTAGTTCTTTATTAAGTCGAGTTTCTAAAAGCACACGACCATAAAAAATTTAGCTTGCTCCTCCGAAGTGTAAGACATGACATTATATTCCTCCCCGTTCCTGAGGCTTCTAGAGAGGTTGCTGAAAATGATTTATTAATCACTTAAGGAGTTTACCCATTCGTATATGCAAGTGACTTAATAAAATAGGGAGTCGCGGAAAATATGTGTTCATTGTTGGAATGCTAAGGATTCACTGTAATGAGGTAGACAGATCTTTAAAGCTCTAACAGAAGTTCTCCACAAATAGCTTCAAGTATATGGATCACAGATAGACAGTCGTATATGAGGACCCATTTTACCAGATTCAGCCGAGTTAATGACATTCACCGTCACCGAATGAGTAAGGTCTGATTTTATGTCATAACTTTCCAAAATTATTCGCCCGACACCAAAATCAAGGTTCCATTTCATCATTCAAACAATATATACAACGCGAACCCAGCAAAACCCAACAATCCTCTACACCGCCACCGCCTCTTTTGTAATTTACCAGAACGTACATGTCTTTCCATTACCATTGCCATTGACCACCTGCAAGGTTTAACATTGAATAACTGCAATCACAGCACAGCACTCAGTGTAGAATGTCAACACCAGGGGTTTCAGTTTGCTAATAATCAGCTGCGACGTCAACTAGTCAGTCTGTCAGTAAGAAAGCCAAGTAACCAACAAACCAGCAAACCAACAAACCAACCAACCAACTAACTGTCTACGCCACCACAGCACCTCTCGCATAAATTCGCGCACGAGCCAACACTTGCCGCGCCAGGATACTCCAATAACCTCTTGAACCAATGACTCAGATTTCGAATTGCGATTGCTGGCAGAAAGTGTGGCAGCAATAACGAAGTCAAATGTTGTTTGTACGAGTACTGCACGTACTACATGAAGATACACATTATAGCGTGGCACGAGCGCACTCGTCGTACAAACGAAGAGCGTGAGAGCTTTACGCTCTCCAAAGCTTCACTTAGCGCTTTACAACCCCAAATGTGGGATGTGTTGTGTGCGCCAAACTCAACACGATGTACGTCACACACTAGTGTGTTGTTGTTCTAATAAATGTGCTTATATCAGTTTGCCGTACATACGCTTATGTACATATGTACATATGTATGCTGCAATCAAGCAGCTCGTTTGCTGTACCGAAGCTTTACAGATAAAAATGTAAGCTTTAGCGACAAAGACGTAACAAGCTACTGTGAGGTGGTCTAAGATTTTCTAAATCAAAAAGAAATAAAAAAAAAATATCAGCTTGCTTTCCTTGCCGCAACCGAGTGTGTGTTTGTGTGTGTGCTTCTTCTTACCCCAATTACTAGGGGTGTGCACACACTAATGTCGCGCCATCTTCATCGTCTTCGGCTAAACCATACTCCGCCTCGATTTCATTTCCAACTCAGCTGAACTGAACTGCACTACACTGAAACTCAACTCGACAGCTCGACGGCTCCAACATTCTTCGAGGCATAGCCGCACATTCATTTCGTATCGCGCTTTAACTCGAACGCGTGCTACGAACGTCTAACGCGCTACTCACTCGCAGTTTTGTTGGTTGTTAGTGTCGGTCTGATTTTGATTTGGTGGTATACCAGAAGAAAAAGAAGAAGAAAATATTTATTTAAAGGAAGAAAAAAACAAAAATACATAGAAATTCTAATCAATTCGTGTTTTCAAAAATATTTCACAGGCGCAAAATTTGAAAAATTGCAAAGATTACTGCCAAATATTTATTGATTTGCTACTCTTCGGTGTATCAGAGTGACAAGCGGACGAGCGAGCGAGTTAGCAGTGAAGTCGTTAGATATTAACGTGTTCCCATTAGAGAAACTTTGAAGGGAAACAGCCAAAGTTGATAACGAATAATTGCGAAAAAGAGTGCTTCGTTGTTGTTATTGTTGTTGTTGCTAGAAAAAAAAAGAGTTTAAGAGAAATAAAATAAAATTAAATTTACTTAAAATGCAGTCAACAATCCTCGCCAGTGTTTTGATGCTCTTATTGGCCGTACAGCAGGGTAAGTCAATGGCTATCACACTGCCTGTGATATTATACAATACATCGTGTGTATGTATGTATGTGTGTAGGAGCGCGAAAGTTACATAACGCAGATTTTTACTACGTTACTCAGCGCCAAGGCTATGCCTTAACCATTGTTACAAGCGAAAGTGAGGTTATAATTGTATATTAAATAAAAAAAAAAAAAACAGCATAAAAAAGAATAAATACATACAAATTGGATTATTATAATTAAATTGATAAAAAAAAATGTCTCTTTATTCACCCATTTATCCTGACTTTAACAACTATTACGCTATGTATATGTATCGGTGGTACTGTAGGAGCTCAAAGAGGATTAAATAATTTCTTCCTTTCCTTACTCCAACACCGCCTTTCAACTCTCTCTCCCACTTCCTGCTACATTTCGCGTGCCAACACCCTACGCCATTGCCTTAGCACATTTCCCTTTATTTTCCTTATACTCAGCGTACCACACAAAAAGGAAGTAGTAACGTCACGTCTCTCCACAAGCGGCGCCTTATGTTCTAATGCATTTATTTACATCCTTCTTTTGCTCTTTTTTCTACTGAAATCTCATATTGCAGTTGGTCGTGGTCGCTGATATCGTATAGTATATTTGTATTTGTTGGAGCCCGTTGCGTAAAATGCTGGCAAAAAAGCGGCCCTAACCCGACTCTGTGCTAGCCAATCCTTACAGTGGCGCTCAAATTTCATATACACATGGTACATACATACATATATACATATATACATACATTCAAACCTAGTTAATACTTGTTATCCTTACTTTTCATTATACTAGCAACGTATGGCTTGTGGTTATTAAGAAATGTAGCCCAGGGCTCTAAACTCACTGATTACGAAATTCCTAATTAAGAGTTTTTATACTCATTTACCCAAGGCAAATCGCAGAGCAACATCTAATTGGCAATAAGAGTCTCATAGGAAGTAGCAAAGTATGAGCCTGTTATAGAAACCCATGCAAAACAGTGGTCGGATCAGAATCAGTACACTAGCATGCCCCGCAAAATTCCCCGCAAAAAATTAACCACCACCGAGTGAAAGGTGAGAGTTGAGTTGATGTGGCTGCCGGCTTGTGACCAGTACTCTTAGACCTCTAATACCACTGCAAAGATCCTATCACCTGCCCACCATCCTAAATGCGCGAGCTATTCGGTATGTCTAATTAAGTTAATTATTTCTGAGGTTAGCTTAGCGAGGCTGTCGGAATACCATTTTGTGGGAAAATGTTAACGGGGAAGTACGAAAGACTTTTCCTCTTTCCCGTCCCTTCCGCTACGACATAAATCATTCGAGAAACATGGCATTTTTCTACCATAGCCTCCCCTCAAAACGGTGTAAGGTCAATATGCCAGTTGTGATACTGCTAAAGAACCGTTCCGGAAGAAGTCAATTTCTTGAGCTCTCAGCGTCTAATACTGGGTAGATCCGACTTGTCACATTACACGTGGTTTCATGAGGTCATCTGATCTTTAGTCATGGCCACTTATAGTATAGGCTTTACTTTGCCATGCCTTTGGTTTACTCTTTTCACTTAGCATCTCATCTCACAAGTAGGTATCACGACCACATGGTATTGTTGTTCTCGAAAAAAAAAAAAACAAATAAAAATCTCCTTTTATCCTCATATTCCTCCCGAGAGAGAAAGCAAATCAAAGTTTAGTTGGGCACTACAAACTTGCACAATTTCCAGAGCTTAACTTAAAAGAACAAGATAACGCTACTGTGCGGTGGATGATGTGTTCAAATCCTCACTTAATCAGTGTCTAAAAATTATAGAAACTAAATTCTAATTATGGTTGCTCATCGACAGGGAATTTCAATCCCTGCGAGTGTATTTGAATTAACCGATCAGAACAAGAGGATCCTGGAATAAGGGGAGAAACATACCTGCTGGCCAATACCACAAAGGAACTACTTGCCTCGTTTAAATGTGATGTTCAGAATCATACCGTGCTTTCCCCGGATCTAACACCTTCAGATTGTTATATTCAGAGCTTTTTACCCGACGAGAAGATGGAGAAGGCTTTGGCACCAAATTATCAACAAATTGATACCCCATTGCATAGAGAGAAATTGCTTCTATATGATTAAATAGCTTAAAAATAGCTAATGCGGTCAAATTCAGTCCTGTCGAGGAAGAGTGTGCTATGGGTGCTAAGTAGAGAGAGACTTTTGAGATCTAGATCGGTTAACCCTGTGGTGGGCAGCGAGCCATGTTTAATGCTGTGGCGATATACATATACTCCACAATGTTCCTAAAATCCGAGGATAATTTACATTTAGCCGTGAGTCAGCATAAGAAGAAATGTGGTTAGCAAATAGTACCAACATTTGAAAGGTTACGATTCGAGTCCTGCATAGACCACCATCAAAAAATGAGTTTTTCTAATTGCGGTCGTCCCTTGGCAGGAAATGTAAAGTACTCCGAATCTATTTCTGATATAAAAATTAATAACTTCAGTCAGGCTTAGGATAAACCGTAAGCCCCTCATTTGTTGGAAAAGAACCAAGAAACCTACTACAAATTGAGGAAGGGACTCGACCAAAGATCGCTTCAAGGATACAAAGCACCTAACATATATTTATTGTATGTATAAAGGCGCGCGACCGCTGGAGGGATATTAATCTCATTTTTAATATTTTAGAGAATGCTCTCTCCGTGGGGAGTGAAACAGTGTAAGTGAGAGCCAAAATGCGAATACATTTTCTAATGCTTCATAAAATTAAAAGTCTCATCATATTTTATTGGCATTTTTGTCCTTTTTACATTTAAATTCCTAAATCTAAATTTCCATAACCTAAAAATATTTAATGTAAAATACAACTCATTCACTATTCCATTTTCTTACAATACTTAAGCTGGCATACAGACATACATTTTTCATTTCTTTGTTCGTTAATAGCTGTCCTAAAAGGATAATATCATCGGCAAAGTAGACTTTAATACTTGTAAGTATGCAGGCATATATATATATGCATATATATATATAAGTAAAATTGCTACCCTGTGGGAAAAATTAAAGTTTTTTCTTTTTTGAAAGCTCTTCATTTCTCCACGCTTAACCGCCTTAAACTATGGCAATTCTGAAGCTTTCTGAAATGTAGCAATAAGAAAAAATCCACAAAACCTTCATTCTTTTATTTTGTTCATTGTTTGTTGTAATCGAGATATTTATAAATAATCAAAACTGTTAACCGGTGCTGTCTACAATTACACTGATTGAATCAATTGAATTGTTGGAAAAAGTTTAATCAAAAAGAAGGGCGTCATATTTCATTACTAAGAAGCTAAGGCACATGTGTAAGCACCCTTTAGGGAAAAATTTTAGATGTTAACAACTACAAGTGCTACTATCAAGCATATTCTCACTGTTACCGGTAAAGTAAATTTTGTTACTTTTCTTTAACACCCGAAATTGAATTTGGTATTCTGGCGAACTGGTTACAATGTTTGAAAAAAGTTTTGCAGCACTGCTTTTTTCGTCCATGTCAAATTACATATGCCAATTGATAAAGCAAAAAGAAAATATTCACATCGAAATGGAAGACGGTGCACAAAAAATTAAAAAGTTTTAGTAATTTGTATATTAAATCATAAATAAAAAAAAGCTGAATGAAAACGTTATCTTACAAATTAAAGGGCTATTTTTTAGTCTAGAAAACTTCTTAAAATACGGATTTTTGCACTTTTTTCTTCATCTTCAATGAATTCCAGGCCTAATATATGTATTTCTGTTTTTTATTTTTTCTCAAACTTACAACACAAAATCAAACAGCAGATATGTTTGTTACCTCATATTTCGCTGGTAACAAAATTTACAGGGTAACAGTGAGCTCAGAATACGAAATGGTAACAAAATTTACTGAATGGTAAATTTTAATACCAAAGTACATTTTGTTACCTCGACAGAATAGGCCTGTATAGGTGAACTACTTTTCGTATTCCTACAATAAATAGTTCGGTTTTCATCGGTATGTAATATTAGTGACAGATATTTTTGATCTTTATACATCATCTTTATATTAGTTAAATACCAGATCATTTAGAATATAAAACGATCATGTATTCGCTTAACGATTCCCAGTCGAGCTCCACCTCCATTTTGTGCTGTGCGTCTCACTCAGAGATTCAAATTATTCGGCAGGGAGCGACCTCAGTACAAAAAATAGTTTTCTATAATTTTGGATATTTGGTTTAAGCAGGATTTGTACCCATTACCTTCCGCTCGGTAATACGCACAGCTAACCAACGACTGTTGGCAATTAGACACATTGAATATCTATTGTACATCGAAGAGAAAGATATTGACTGCAGCAAGATTAATTCTCATAACATGGCACTTCCTCCATTGATACTCTGCAGGGTACAACTTTTAGCCTACTAGAAATGGAAAGAAACTAAAAAAATAAATTTTGGTACTCAAGGCAAGTGATTTTCCAAATTGATTTCCAATTCATGAAGGGATAATACCCGATTTTATATAAACGAATGAATTCCTGTTAAGAAATTTCAAAAAATTTGGTTTCTTGAAAATAAAATAAAATTTATTTTTTAAAATAAAATCGCTTGCATTCGCTTCCATTTGATTCTTTAATAATGAGACAGATTTTCCAAATTTACAACCGAGTTAAATTTCCTAGCAGGTACACTCGATGTGTACATTAACCTACATGCATACATACATACATACGTGTATACGTATGTGCAGTGTATAAAATATTTTTATGTTATATTTCCTATTAGTACTTTGGAAATTAAGAGCAATAAAGTTGAATAACTTATAAGGGTTGGTGACAATAAAGTAGTTAATGGCCTGAAAGTATTAGATACATATGTATGTATATATGTATGTATGTATATTTAAATATGTATATTTGAAATATTTATAAATGGGAAAAAGATTTCGCGACTTGGCTCTTACGTCACTGTTGACAGTTATACCTTTTAAGTCGTTGATAGTTTTGTCCATC